CATACATACGCATATACATACAAACATACGCACATACACACATGCATATATATATATACACACACATACATACCCACAAATGCTCACATTCGCTCCTCGCATGTTATGATGTTGGATAGGTCTGTGTGCGCTCTCAGGTTTTTGATTTCAGGCATGATGTGGGTGGCTTCCCACGTTGAGGCATCTAGGAGAAGAAGCTGCAAGGTTTCTAAACCCTAAACCCTAAACTCTAAACCCTGACCCCAGGGCTTTGAGTGTCAGGACATGGCTTAGACGCCTTGGGCGCCCCGGCGTCCTGCCGCTGGGGAGGCTCTTTCTCTGACAGCTGCTGGATTGAAACAGTTTAGGGTTTAGGGGTTTAGGGGATTCAGAAGCCCTACACCCTGCACGCTATTTCTAGATTTGAAGCTCTCAGCCCGACGCCTCTGTTAGCTTTGAGTGCGGTGTTGCTATTGTAATTGTTCTCGGATATTTTGCACCTTGGGTCCCGGCTCCAATGCGAGAAGCCTCGTTGTGTGCACCTGGACGACACGGCTGCTCTCACAGCTAGCTGCAACTGCTGTCGGCTTGTTTTTGTGGCGCTCAGTGGTCTTGTTGGTTTGATGAAACTGCAAGCCCTGTCCAGAGGTTTCTTGGCGGGCCTAATGTTAAGCGCAGCCACGTCAGGATAGGACGCATGTCGGTGTAAGGTTGCGGGCATCGATTCTAACAAAATGCAGGCAGCCTCAAGAACTTCCAGCATGCTTGCACAGCCGAGGCTACATCACCACAGCTCAGCACGACGACCCGTGCCAAGGGAACCCAAATGCTCCTATACGCCGCTTGTTTTCGTGCCTGCTGGGTGTCTGCAATGTAGGGAACCGGGTTTGATCAGCCGTGTTGCCTCTCGTGTTTGCATTGCATGCCACAGAAGCTTTGGCTTCAACACCTCAAGTCCCAAGCTTCTTCAGCTCCCAAAGTCTGTGAAGCTAAGAATGGGACAACGCTGCGAAGATCAATCACTTCCTCGCGGCGAAGACCATGGCCGCTTCTCGCGGGCAGAGCATCCGCGGGGCGCACTCCGTGAGAAAGCCCAAGGCGGAATGGGAAGCTCCGGGTTGGGAAATGTATGGCTCGCGCAATGAGAGCAACAAGACCAGAAGTAGCAGCGGCCTTTTGTAACGGCAGCAACAACCAAGGATTGAGAGCCCAGAATGCAACACTCCTGCACTCTGTCTGTTGTTTCCTCTTCCGGTCTGTCTATCTCTTCACCCCTCTCTCTCTCTCGCTCTCTCTTCCTCGTGTTTTCCCGCTCTCTCTCTCTCCCCTCTACTCTGCACGGTGTATGCCATGTGTATGCCTTTCCCTCCTCTTGGGAACTCCCGGTAGGGATCCATGCCTCTCGACAGCTTGCAGGACATGCTTGTGTCTGCATACTGCTACCACCACCGTGGGGAGGCGCAGTTTGGATGCCCGGTCCGACCGCTTGTGAGCCCTCGTCAGCGGTAGTATACGGGGGATACCCTTTTCAGACTAGGCATTCTGGTTACTGCATGGTTCTGACCAAAGCCGCTCGTCCCTTCACTGTTCTTCTCATCCCTTGGACATTCACATTTCTGTGGTTTTAGGGTCTAGGGCTTGAGTCACAAATCCACCGCGTTAAAGCTTTGGGGCTTATGTCGAAAGCCCTCAAACGAGTCACTGACCCAAGCCCAGGCGCCTTAGCTCTGTGCCTCCGACCAAGGCCCCGCACCCACATCCGAAGCCTTAAACCCGAAGCCCGAAGCATCAAAGCCTAAACCCCAAACTCCAAACCTCAAGCCCTAAACCCTCAACCCCCAAACCCCCCAAACCTCTAACCCTGAACCCTAAACCCTAAACCCCCAAACCCCCAAACCTCAAACCCTAAACCCTAAAACCCTAAGCCTCAACCCCAAACCCTAGACCCTAAACCCCCAAACTCCAAACCTCAAACCCTAAACCCAAAACCACAACCCCCCAAACCCTAAACCCTAAACCCCCCAACCCCCAAACCCCTATCCTAACCCCCAAACCCCCAAGCCCCAAACCCCCAAAACCCTAAGCCCCAAACCCCCAAAACCCGAAGCCCCAAACCCCAAACCCTAAGCCCCCGAACCCCCCAAACCCTAAGCTTAGCCTAAGCCTCGAACTTTGACTCTGGGCTCCTGATAGATACTACAGTTATAATAAGGAACCACCCAGAAACCTATAGGCCCCTATATTAACCCTGACTCTGGGCTCCTGGGAGGAGTTCGGCAATCCGATCGTGTCCTGGCCCGAGATCATGGCCATGGGCCCTGAGGAGGTGCTGGGGGGGCGGTTTAGGGTTTAGGGTTTAGGTCTCTTGGGGCT